GAGGGAAGGAGGCGGCATTGCTCAGACCCATGGGGGAAAGGGTAGTGGCCCAGCCCCAACCTGGCCCCACAGAGGGGAGGGGGCTTGACCCAGCCCCAATCTGGCCCCATGAAGGAAAGAGGGTGTTGGCTCAGCAGGGAGAAGGGGGCATAGCCCAGCCCCATCCAGCTAGGGGAGAGGGGAATGGCTACTCCCCATCCAGCCATTTGAGTGGTAGAGGGGCCAGACTGTGTCCCAACCTGCTGTGAGGTCTTGGGTTTTGGGAATATAGCAGGAGGAGAGGGTGGCCATATTTACTGCTACCATTCCCCCACCACCAAACTTCCTGATCCAGCCCCATGGAGAGTTACGTACAACTCTGTGAGCCACATCTGGCCCACAAGCCAGAGCTTGAGCACCCCTCGTCTAAGTGTAGCATGTAACTTAACTTTGACTTATTCTGTCCCAACTGGCTTTAAATCCTATGATCATACAAAACTAAGAACCAGGAGTTCTGGATGACTCAGGAGCCATGAAGTCTTACATTTCTAAGGCCATATTCAAGTGTTACATTTATGGTAAAAAATACATCCTTTTAACACCGCAAAAAGCAAGGATAAAGCCATTCAAACATGTTGTTGTAGAATAACATAGTGATTCTGCCATAAAATGTTAGCTCTTTCCAATAACTCCAGGCAATCCAGGAAGTTTTTGGAGAATACTGGGGACAATTTCCTGGTGCAAGTGCTGGAGCAACCAACTAGGGGCCATGCTCTTGACTTGCTGCTCACGAACGGGATGAATTGATGGGAAAAGTAGTAGTGGATGGCAACTTGGGCAGCACTGACCACAAGATGATTGGGCTTAGGATCCTGAGGAAAGAAAGGATGGAAAGCAGCAGAGTAAGGACCCTGGACTTCAGAAAAGCAGACTTCAACTAGCTCAGGTAACTCATGGGTAGGATCCTCTGGGATGCCAGACTGACGGGGAGAGGAGTCCAGGAGAGCTGGCTGTACTTTAAAGACGTCTTACTAAGAGTTCAGGAACAAACCATCCCAACACTCAGGAAGAACAGCAGAAGACCAGCTTGGCTTAGAAGGGCACTCTTCAGTAAACTAAATCACAAAAAGGAAGATTATAAGAAGTAGAAACTGGGAGACATAATTCCCTTACTGAATGGAGGAGGCAACTTAGTGACAGAGGATGCAAAAAAGGCTGAAGTGCTCAGTGCCTTTTTTGCCTCAGTCATCACAGGCAAGGTCAACTCCCAGACTACTGCACCAGGCAGCACAGTTTGGGAAGGAGGTGACCAGCCTCCAGTGGTGAAAGAACAGGTTAGGGACTATTTAGAAAACCTGAACATGTACAACTCCATGGGGCCAGATGAGATGCACCCAAGGGTGCTGAGGGAATTGGCTGATGTGATTACAGAGCCACTTGACCTTAACAAGGCTTTTGATACGGTTTCCCACAGCATTCTCTCAGGCAAGCTAAAGTCTGGGCCAGATGAATGGACTGTAAGGTGGATAGAAAGTTGGCTGGAACATTGGGCTCCTGTCTGGTTGGCAGCTGGTATCAAGTGGAGTGCCCCAGGGGTTGGTCCTGGGGCCGGTTTTGTTCAATGCCTTTATCAATGACCTGGAAGATGGCATAGAGTGCACCCTCAGCAAGTCTGCAGATGACACCAAGCTGGGGGGAGTAGTAGATACGCTGGAGAGTAGAGCTAGGATTCAGAGTGACCTAGACAAATTGGAGAATTGGACCAAAAGAAATCTCTTGAGGTTCAACAAGGACAAGTGCAAAGTCCTCCACTTAGGACAGAGTAATCCCATGCACCGGTACAAGCTGGGGGCTGACTGGCTGGGCAGCAGCTCTGCAGAAAAGGACCTGGGGGTCACAGTGGACAATAAGATGAATATGAGCCAGGAGTGTGCGCTTGTTGCCAAGAAGGCTAATGGCATACTGAGCTGCATTGGTAGGTGTGTTGCCAGTAGGTCAAAGGACGTAATTATTCCCTTCTGTTCAGCACTGGTGAGGCCACATTTGGAGTACTGTGTCCAGTTTTGGGTCCCCACTACAGAAAGGATGTGGACAAATTGGAGAGAGTCTGGCAGAGGGCAACAAAAATGGTGAGGGGGACTAGGGTACATGACTTAGGGGGACAGGCTAAGGGAACTGGGCTTATTTAGTCTAGAGAAGAGAAGACTGAGGGGGGATTTAATAGCAGCCTTCAACTACCTGAAGTGAGGTTCGAAGGAGGATGGAGCTGGGCTGTTCTCAGTGGTGACAGATGACAGATCAAAGAGCAATGGTCTCAAGCTGCAGCAAGGGAAGTTTAGGTTAGATATTAGGAAGAATTTTCTTGCTAGGAGGGTAGTAAAGCACTGGAACGGGTTACCCAGAGAGGTGGTGCAATCTCCATCCTTGGAGGTTTTCAAGACCCAGCTAGACAAAGCCTTGGCTGGGATGATCCAGTTGGGGATGGTTCTGCTTTGAGCAGGGGGTTGAACTACATGACCTCCTGAGGTCCCTTCCAACCCTAATTTTCTATGATTTCTATGAATAACAAATCCTCAGCAGTGTAAACTTTTCCAGCACCATGTGTAATGCCTATAGTTACACATAGTGCCACATGCCATGACTCAGTCCTCCAGCATCCCAGGAAGCTTTGCTCCTCACCCCCTTCTTCTGAAGGTATCAGGAAGTCTGTTTGTCATGCTGAACTCTACTGCCCCAGGGACGTGAAGCCAGGCTCATAAGTTGCCATGCAGACTTACAGTTCAGTACTATCTTTCTTTGTAAAGATAGAATCATTCCCACCCAAAAAACCCAGCATCTACCCACCTCCCAAGCCAGCCTGCTATGCAAAACACACGTTCCTATTGCATCTGGATCTCTGGTGCAACCAGTCAAGGGCACTGAGCAAGAACATGTGGGTGGTTGAGCTTCTGTGCAGGAAATTCAAAACTGGCTCGTGGTAAAGGGTATGACTAGAATAAAGGGAAACCCCATCAGCCCCTCTCCTGAAGTGGAGGAAGAGTCAGCTGTGCAGGGCTGTGCTAGCCAAGGGCCACACTATGGACAGCACTGCCAGGAGGTGTGTATGTTTCACAAAGTGTCATGATGTCAAGTGAGGCCCAGGGCTGAGCATGGTGCTGCAACTTCAAGGGGCTGCTACAGCTCATGAGCCCCATGCACTTAGCTGGCAAAACTTCTGTAAGACTGGCAGCATCCTCCCCCACTGCTGATCTCCCATGGGTTGCTAAGCTGGGTGATCCCAGTACTAGCACCCACTGGACACCAGACACTGCTCCCACATGTGCTCTGGACTTGCCCATCCCAAACTAGTTGGCAGGGGAGCAGAGGAAGTCAAGAGCCTTGAGCTTCCAGCTGGTGATGGCAACACGTTTCTCTACAGTGAGGGGTGCCCTTATGTTGATCCCCTGGCATGCCAGGGTAAGGAGCAGCTTGGCAGGCATCTCCCTGGTGACTTAGTGCATCCTGAACTTCTGCTGCTACTGCTCGTCAGCCCAGAACCTCAGGACAATGTGCTCCCAACCATTGGTGCTTGTCTCAAGTGCCCCAAAGCAGCAGAAGGTGGCCTGTAAGTGGCCCAGAGCAACCCTGCCCTGCCTGCCATCTGGCACGGCAGTGTTCTTGGTGGCCATGTAGCTGTTGTCAGACATGAACAGGGAGCAGAGCTTGAAGATGCTCATGACCAAGACCTTGGTTTTGTCTACATAGCCACTCATTGCACTCCACGCCAGCCTACACTGTACCTGAATGAGCTTGCTGAAGCAGCAGTGGCAGGCCTTGATTCAGTGCACTAGACCCGTCAGCACTGCTGGATCAGGAGCTGCAGGGCACATGGAGAGGGTTGTGGGGAGGGATGCACTGCAGACTGTAGTTCCCTGGGCAGCCAGCCAAATGGAGCTTTCCTCTGCAAAGCATGCTTAGTCTTTCTTGCTTAGCAGGAAGACTAGTTCCTTCTGTTTGTTCCCCAAGCTCCTGACATTGGTATACAGACATGTAAGTGTCCCAGTGGAAGCCCTAGGCTTCCTTGCACTCCCAGGTGGACACCGTTCCAGGGCTGGGGTAGGTATGGATTCCCTTGGGTGCCCTAACCTGCTGGTTATGCAGTAGTTGCCTAAGATGCACTAATGGTGCAATGTGAAGTATCTGCTCTGTGAGCAAACAGAGATTTGACTGCCAGACCTGTTCCAAGCGTGGAAGGTGAAGATTTTCCGAAGTGTTGAACATTGACCAAACACCTGGCCAAATGAATGGTCCAATACTGAATTTTTCTGGGGGAGAAGGAAAGCGTTGTCTCGTTTCTGTTTTGTTTTGTTTTTAAATAAAACCACACACAGTGTTCTCTTCCCAAGAACTGTGCAGTTTATTTGATCAAGTAATATGACTCAAGTTATAAAGCTTGGAAATCACCAATGTTTTCACAAACATGTAAATACTCAATGAATTAACAGGGCCAACTTCTAAAACACCGGGACAAAGGGTTATACTTTTACCAATGCTCACCACAAGGTATCTGAGCAAAACCCCCAAGAGCTATAACCATATTTGTAATTTTATGTGCAACTATAGTTGTTTGTGCTCAATACATGTAGATAAAACTCTAGTGCTGCAGCTGTGACCACCCAGTTCAATGCAATTTCCTTAAAAACTCATAGATTTCATAGATTGCATAGATTTCTAGGGTCAGAAGGGACTCTGTAGATCAAGTCTGACCCCCTGCTCCAGGCAGGAAAGAGCGCCGGGGTTAAAAAACCCCAGCTAGGTGCCTGTCTAATCTTTTCTTGAACACCTCCAAGGTAGGGGAAAGCACCATGGAAGCCCATTCCATATTTTGGCAACCCTCACCGTAAAAAATTTCTTCCAGATATCCAATCTAAATCTACTCTCCTTTAGTTTGTGGCTGTTATTTCTAGTAACCCCAAGGGGTGCCCTGGTAAACAGATTATCCCCTATTCCCTGCTGAGCCCCCCTGATGAGTTTCTAGCCAGCCACAAGATCACCTCTCAGCCTTCTCTTGCGGAGGCTGAAGAGATTCAGGTTCCTCAGTCTGTCTTCATATGATCTTACCCACAGGCCCTCAACCACATAAGTAGCCCTTCTCTAAACCCTCTCAATGCTAGCCACATCCCTCTTGAGTGCAGCACTGAAAACTGGACGCAGTACTCCATCTGTGGCCTGACCAATGCCGCATAGAGGGGAAGCATCACCTCCCTAGACCTGCCTGTGATGCACCTACTAATGGAAGAAAGAGTGCGGTTAGCTTTACTTATTACCTCGTCACATTGGCAACTCAGGTTTATTTTTGCATCAACCAAGTCTCTGAGATCCCTTTCCACTGCCATGGTACTCAGAATGGTACTTCCCAGTCTATAGGTGTATTGGAGATTCTCTCCCCACAGGTGCAGCACCTTGCCCTTATCCTTGTTAACCTGCATCCTATTCTGATCCACCCACTTCCCCAGTCTATCCAAATCCACCTGGATTCACTCCCTGCCCTCCAGCGCATTTACCGTACCCCATAGTTTGGTGTTGCCTGCGAATTTGGACAGAGTGCTTTCAACCCCCGCATCCAAATCACTGATGAACTCAAGTGTTCTGCACTTACCTGTAAAATTTCTTTATTATGAGATGCTCCCCCAGTAGCTAAAATTCTTGTCTTCGGCACTGCAATACAATAGAAAGGGAAGACTGAAATAAAGTACTGTCACATATTTTGCTATTGATCTGGGCAATTATAACAGGTAAGTAGGAACCAGGAGCCATGTTCTATCCCTGACTTTCCCACTGGCTCGTCAGCTGACTTTGAGTTAGGTTGAACTCTCTGAACCTCAATTCTGGCATCTGCAAAAAAGGAGATAATGCTATTTGCCTACCTCTGCAAGGCACATAAGGATATAATGGGATTACAATATTTATAATACCTCTTACCACTGTGCTACCAAAACCAATGAGCTAGAGGGGGATAGAAAAAGGCAGGCAAGATGGTATGACGTTACACTTCAGATGTGAAGTCAGTCTCAGTTTGGATCTCAGTTACATAGATACAACCTGACAGATAACCTTTAAAACCAGCAGAATTTTCAAAACATATATCTCCTTGTGATGTTCACATTCAGGGTCAAAGAAATCTTGGCAAGCCCATTATTATTGACAAAGAACATATTTCAGGAAATAATTAGGGATTGCTTTGATAAAATAAAAAAGCTACCTGATCCTCCACTGAAAACAGAAACTGAGCCAATGCTTTTTAGATATTAAAAAACTCCATTAACATTTCCTTCCTTCAATGAAAACTTCAAGAAATTCCTCCTTCCTTCTCATCAGTAAGAATTCCCTCCTGAACTGCTGTCCTATCTGGGGTCATTTATGGATACGCATGATTTTTAGGACACACCCTGTATCCATCTACATCCTCAATTCAGCAAGGTACTTAAATATTGAAATAGTCCTCCCAACTTTGATGAGCCTATTCACGTGTTTGAAGCTGGGCAAATATTTAATTACTACAATAAATCAGGACCCATGATTGTTATGCTTTTGATAAACATTTCCTAATAACTATCACAGCATTTGGAGGTGGCAAGGTAGTAAAAGCCTTCCCAAAACAAGGCTTTACTTATTTTTTATTATGCTGGCTCCAGTTTGCCATGAGCTGAAGACAAAGAGCAGCACGCAAAGGAAAAGCTGGCCAACAACTCTTGAGGCCGTAAACAACTTGTTGTGGTTTATCCCTTGAGAACTTGAAGCCAGAAAAAATAACATCAAAATGGAGATGCATATTGCAGAGGGCCCTCATACAGCTTTTGAGCCCACAATGATTTGCTCAGGTAGAGACAAAGAGCCAGCCAAAACACTGCAAGGAGAACCTTATTTTACCAATAAATTTAATCTTATTTTCCTCTTTGGAGGATATTCAGCGATGCACAAATTGGGTTTTAAAAGCCATTAGGATCTCTGTCAATGTCAGTAAACAAATAAACCAAGCGGCAGAGTGATTCCTCGGGGAAAACGAGTTTCAATTATACCGACACAGAGTGACAGATCCCTGCCAAGATTATCAAAACAATGCAATAACCCAGGAACCAGTGAAAAAAATAACCAGTAAGCCACTGTTCCTGGAAACAAAACTGAACTTTTGATACTTCGCCTAGCAGCTGAGTTTCTGTTGCATGAAGTCTGGTGGAGGGCATGATGCTCTCATAACAGCATCGCGTTCGAGAGAAACACCACGTTCGAAAGCCGTCCTACGTAACAGGCACAAGGGGCAAACAGACTGGTTCGCTTCACTTTGTAGCACAACTGTGACTCGTCCGGAGGACAAGGCTTATTTCTGTCCAGTCTCGAGAGCAGCACTTTGGACAGTGCTAAACTGCCGCAGGGAAGAACAGTGGAGAGGCAAACATTAAGACCCTGAATGAAAACTATAGCCATCTTCTGGCTAAGTGCATAGACGCAAAAGGGTTTCTTTGAGGTAAAGGAGGGTGGAGATGTCAGCTATATTTTGGTAGCTATCCACGCGTGTGGTCATTGCACCAGGTCAAAGGAAGCTAGCTTCTTTCACTGAAGGCTAAGTGACCACAGGTTAGCTTCCCCTTATTACAGCATGGGTGACTACCTCTCCCCTTACTACAGAGTAAGAGTGTGTACATGGCCAGCTACTGTGGAGTATCTGAAGTGCAAGAAAGCCCCATCCCCTTAACTCTGCGATAAACCATGCCCTGAACTCTCTCTCTGAACCACTTCTATCCATGCATACTCCAGCCTTTTGTCCAATGTGCTTTTTATAGACACGCATCCAGAGTCTATTACTATGAACTGGCCTGGGCAAATACTGAGCTACATATTGCTTATTGAACCATGTGTTCCAGTTGACTTCAATGTCCATACAAGAGACAACCCTTCTGTTTTATGAACACGGGGCTGGAAGGGATCTCTTGGGTCCTCCCTCGGGTCCAGTCCCCTTCTACCACAGGCAATCGCATGGCATGCCCCTGGTAGGCTCAGGATTTCATCAGCACCGCACAACTGCTAACCTTCCTCAAATAATATCAGATTCTAAACAAATGGCTGGTCACCATGATAGGGAAGATTACAGATATTCTTATGATCATATTATTATCCCCTGCAATCTGAAGTTGGAATAAACCTCTCCTCCTACTAGGTCAGAAAATTTCTCTCACTTGCAGCTTCCTACTGGGATTTAGATTTTAAAGGACAATCATCTTTCCAGTAGTGATATATTCCCTAAATGGCTTGGTAACCTATTATAAGAGAACTGCTTTTCTTGGTTAATTTAACAATTTCTGTGTAGAACAGGTTTATAATTTTTCAGTCTAAAGGATTAATTTAATCTTTTTCAAAAGGCCTTAACACTAAAAAAGCCATTTTTTTCCTGTGGTGCTGTTTAAGTTTGATTTTTTCACAAAGTATTTTGGGTCTTTTAAATGCACTGCAACTTTTTCGTAATAAAGAACACGATTGAAATATTTGGCTTACCAAAAAACCAAGGCATTTTCTTAATATCTCAATGGATAATGGCAATTTTTGTTTGGGGTGTTAAACGCACTAAAAATGGCAATGCTGTTTTAAATATGTAAACAGGACTACACTGCTTCCAGGTCTGTAGGAAGCTCATCATAGCAGCAAGGTGTGTTTGAAGACACCACTGCTTGAAATGGTAAGTTTGTAGTGTAGACATGCTCTCAAGGTCTAAGCCTAAGATGCTATATGAAGGCAGCACAGTGGCAGAAAGGGCAGGGAGCAGAAAGGAGAGCATCAGGTGGGGCAGGGAGCACAGGGCACGAAGCAGAAGGCAGAGCAGGAGATTGGGTAAGGGAAAGGAACTGGAGTGACACTTGGGAAGGGTACAGAGCTAATTTGTGGGAAGATTTCCAAAATGCTCGGCCCCCACTGCTGTAAGGAATGGTCTAGCTTTATTGCAAACAAGACATTAAAACTGAATCTGACTGCATTCGTAAAGGCAGTTCTGCTTCTGGACAGGCACAGGCACTGAGTTCAGTGGGCGAGTTTTGGCCAGTTTTGTTCAGTGAAGAGCTGGGGGTTTCAAGGCAACTGGCCCAAAAATATAAATGAGTCTGTTGTTGTCTTCATCCGGTCTGAAGAAGCTGGCATATATTTTAGGGATTGTCTTTCACGGTGTAAATACAGTTCATTTTACTGAAAAATGTATATTTACCCTGAGATGTGTAATTGGGTGCAGATTACAAAGCAAACAAAATGCAGTCATTTATGTACTCAGCAGCATAAGCGAAGACATCATTCATCCATCAGTATCAACTGTTCTCAGCCAACTGTATGAATCTGTCAGGGGCTGCCATCCATCCCCTATGGCAGTGCACAAAAGGTACTTAAACTCTGCACTGCTGAAATAACCTAACAACTGTAGCAAACATAATTCATGGAGTAAATCCTTTGACAGTTAAGGGAATTGGCTTAAACATCTTTTAATTAAAGCCCCATCTACAGCAACTGTTAATCTGGGTTGCATATTGCAAAGTGGAGTCGGAAAAAAACCAGCATTCATTGGTGTGCAGAATTTTAGCTTCTTGGAGGGCTGAGAGCATGTTTTCCCTTCCTGCAAGTACATTAGCACAACCAGGTGTAGTGGAAAATCTATAGCAAGAAGGAATCCTGCAGGGCGCACACGTCCTACACAGCTCTCATTGCTGTAGGGTACATATTGACTGGATTAATGAAATTATGTTAAAACAATAGTGTCTGTAGGAAAAGAAAGACATCAGTAGAGATGGAATCTGTATACTACTGCAGCAGGAACAAGTGCTTACATTTTCTTACACGGTGTTCAGTGTAGCTTGTTCATTATTATTAAAGTTGATTCCACGTGAGACCTACCACTTTGCATCTCAGAGAGCAGAGATTCTCAGCCAGGGCGCTATGGCACCCAGGAGTGCCTTGCGATCCTTTCAAGGATGCTGTAGGATGCCACACAATGTTAGCAGTGGTAGGTGCCTGAATATGAGTCGTAAGAGAAACCCAGAAATTTCAAATAGGAATCCACAGTGTGAAAACCATTCTGCCCTGTTGTGGTCTTTCTGAGTTCATTGTAGCAGCAGAATTGCTCTATTATTTTCCTGTAGTCAAAAAGAAAATGTGAGCTAAGAGCTGTCATTTTCCGAGGGATGCCTCAAGTCCTATCGAGGGGTGCCTTGAGCCTAAAAAGGTTGTGAACCACTAGCCCCAAAGAAGCTAGTCACTTCCTGGTGCTGTGTACAAACACATAGGTGAGACAACGTGCTCTACACTGAAGAGATCTCAGTCTAAACAGACAAAGGTAAAGCGTGGGAAGTAGGTAAAAAAGAGCACACAAATGTAACAAACCGATCAGCTCATGCATGGGGTGAAATGGCAGAGCCAGGCATAGGAGGCAGGTCTCCTGACACCAACCCACTGCCCCACCCAGGAGGCCACACTGGCAAAGGTAAAGGGTAGAAAAAGTGGGCACACCTTTAAACACACTTTAGAGTAATAATGAACAGCCCTAAAAACCTGCCCACAATTTTAACCCCCGAATCTGAATTCCATAGAGAGGCACAGAACCGGTAATTCCACCCTCCGCCATGATGTACCGAAAAGTCAAATTCCCTTTCTTGCTCCCACTGGCTCTGTAGCTCCTACCCATTCTA